TGGAGAGTGAAGGGAAGTGCTGGCTGATGAAGGTGGGCAGAGAGTACCTCACAGCAATCTCAGGTACTGGTAACTTTTCTGTTTTCCCCCTCCTTTGCTTAGAATAGAGGGAGTTCAGTTCCTGAATTATATTTACAATTTCTCTTCTCACTGCCTTCTTCTGGGTTCCTCCTTCCCACCTTTTAGTGTCCTTAGTCAGGGCATGGTTTAGTGGGGCATGTAATTGGAATCCATCTTTGCAGAAAAGAGTATGACTAGAACATGCTGCCTCAAGAAGGCTAAAGTTAAGAATAGAGAAGTCTTCTTCACTTATCAGTAACTTCTTAAAGGAGGAATTTTTATTTTCTTTAAGAGGAAAAGCAATTCTAGGCTCTCAGCCTGGTCCAGCCAAAAAAAATCCTGAAAAGAGTGGGGGCAGGACTGAGACCCCTCATTCCCTAACATTAGTATTGTTTCTTTAAAGTCATTGGGTTAACTTTTCACTTCCTGAAGAACTATGACATAAGCTGTCAAACAGAATGGTTTGTTTTTATCTCTATTTCTGGGCCTAAAAGGAGGTAGTGGCTAGATTTTAAGACTGGGGAATTAGGCTTATGGAATTCGTGGCTAGGGTTCCTGTATAGCCTTTGTAGCCATCAGCACAGTCAAGGCCTAGGGGGGCAGTTTCAAGTTTCAGCTCCAAGGTTTCCTGTGTGAAAAAGCTACCTCAGCTTCTTTAAAACAAACAAACCAACCAACCAACCTATAAATTAAAAAGCTTTTTATCATAGAAAGGTCCACATATATGAGGTCTGTCTTGTCTGGAAAAGTCCAACTGTTGTTAATATAATGAGAACAATTTGCATGACATCAGTGTAATCCGGCAGCCAAGGAGAGTGGACTGGAATGCACATGCATGAACAATGACAACTTCACTGTACTAGTCAGTGGGGGTGGTAGATGCTGTTGAGTGAGCATGTGTACTGTGTGGCTGTCGCATTCAAAATGACTGAGCAAGTAGAGCAATGAATCTTCATCAATTTTGTGTTAAGCTTGAACATTTCTCCTTGGAAACTATTCAGATGATTCAGAAGGCCACAGATATGGGCAACTGGTGATGGCAGCTTCATCACGACAATGTGCCCACTCATGCATCATATCTTGTGCAGAGTTTTTTGGTGACACATCAAATCACCGGGCGACTCAGTGCCCCTACAGTCCAGATTTGGCACCCTGTGACCTCTGGCTTTTCCCAAAACTAAAATTACCTTTGAAAGGAAAGAGATTTCAGACCATCAGTGGGATTCAGGAAAATACAATGGGGCAGGTGATGGCAGTTAGGAGAAACTGTGTGAAGTCCCAAGGTGCCTACTTTGAAGGGGACTGAGGCGTCATTGTCTTATGTACAATGTTTCTTGTATCTTCTTCAATAATGTCTCTATTTTTCATAGTACACGGCTGGATACTTTCTGGATAGACCTCATATATGCAAAAATAATGAAAATGTTATAATAAATCCCATGTACCTATTACCCAACTTCAATAATAATCCTCATTTGGCTAATCTGGTTTACTCTATACACTCACACTTATGCATTGCCCTTCTTCCCAACCTCAACCTCAATTAATTTTTTTAATTAAAAATTTTGAGATCATTGTAGAATTCACAAGGACTTACAAAAATTATACAAAAAGATCACTTACACACTTTCCCATTTTCCCCAGTGGTAATGCTTGTAATAGACTGAATGTTTGTGTCCTCCCAAAATTCATAGGTTGAAACCTAATCCCCAATGTGTTGGCATTTAGAGGTAGGGGCCCTTTGGAAAATGGTTGGGTAAATAGTGCCATTATAAAAAGAGACCCCCTATGGGGGAGGCAGGAAGAAATAAATGCCACTGCCTTCCTCAGTGAAGAGAGAGACCAACATGAGAGCTCTCTTGCCCCCTTCTACCATGTGAGGACATAGTCCTCCATGAACCAGGAAGTAGGTTCTCCCCAGACATTGAAGACTGCTGATGCCTTGATCTTGGGTTTCCCAGTTTTGTACTCATAAGTTCTGTACAAAATGTTATAACCTGTATAGGGTCTTGCATTCATGACAGTAAAGGAAATGAACAATTTCAACACCAAAGGATCCCTAGTGTTGCCTTTTTTATGACTACACTCACATCCCTCCTGCCACCTCTTCAACTTAGTCCCTAATATTTGGCAACCACTAAATCTGTCCTCCATTTCTAAGCTTCTGTCACTTCTAAAATGTTATGTAAATGAAACCACACAGCATGTAATCTTTGGTGACTGACTGCCCCCTCCCCCAGGTTTAATAACCTGGCAATTCATCCATCTTGTTGTTTGTTCCTTTTGATTACTAAGTAATATTCTATGATATAGAAGCATCATAGTTTAACTCTACCTGTTGAAGGACATTGGAGTTATTTCCACTTTTTGGTTATTATGAATAAAGATGCTATAAACATTTCTGTATAGGTTTTGAAATGCCTGTATGGAATTAGCTACCACAATCTAGGGACCCTGAGTATTTATTGAGTCCATCGTTGTTTCTAAGGGCTTTTCAGTGGACAGAACTAGAATGTGCATTTTTTAAAAAATCCTCATTTGAGGATATGTTTACTGATTTTTAGAGACAAAGGGAGAGTGAGAGAGAAACATCGATGTGAGAGAGAAACATCAATCAGTTGCCTCCAGTATGCACCCTGACTTGGGATTGGATCTGGAACATAGGTACATGTCCTCATCAGAAATCGAATCTGCAACCTTTTGGTGTAATGGAATGACCCTCCAACCGAGCCATCTGGCCAGGGCAGATATACTTTTTAATTTAAGGTAAAATATGCCATAAGCTCATATAGATACTTCCTAATTAAATCAAGACTATGGGGAGTTTGTATAAATCATTGATTTTAGATCTACATCTTTTTTCCTGTTGATAAAATCAACATAATTATTTTTCCCCCAGTTTTTTATTGTGGCAAAGTATGCATAACATAAAATTTATCATCTTAACCATCTTTAAGTGTACAGTTGTTATTAAATATATTTATAATGTGCAACTGTCACCACCATCCATCTCCATAACTCTTTTTATCTTGTAAAACTGAAACTCTATACCAGGGATTTTCAACCAGTGTGCCACAAGAATATTTAAAACATGTAATACCTGAATATTTAGTCAGAGGACCGGACGTTTTTTCCCTTAGACCGTCAAATAAAATGACAACAGCCAAGACAATGATAGCTGTCCAGTGTGAATAAATAAAAAATGCCTATTTTTGTCAGATTGGCAAAAATATAGTTGGGTGTGCCGCAGAATTTTAGTAATTAGTTTAAGTTTGTCACGAGGTGAAAAAAGTTAGAATCGGTGCTTTATACCCATTAACTTCCCATTTCTCCCTCCTCCTCCCCAGCTCTTGGTAACCAACCATTCTACTATATGTCTTCATGATTTTAAAGTAAAATACCTTCCTTATATCAGTGAGATCACAGTGTTGTTGTTTTTTTTTTTGACACTAAATGATATTCTATACTAGTTTCAGGTGTATAGCATAGTGATCAGACAACTATACAATTAACGAAATGATCTCACCGTAATTATGTTTTAGCCTACACATTTCATCTATTCCCAACAATATGTCTACTGAATACAATTTTAAGACTCTATGGCAGTTTTTTAAATGGCAGCTGATTTTGTCCTTAGGGTAGATCTTTGCATGTAGTTAAATTGGTGTGTTTTCAAGTCATTCAGAAGAGTTCCCTTCTCTGCATTTAGGTAACCAACTAGATATACATTTAGGTTCACTTGTTTCATTTCACTTTCAATGTTTAGGGACCGATTTTTTAAAATTAAGTTTTATCACACAATCATGTAAAACAGGTTTCTCCAGTCAAATGCACAAAACAGAGTATATTCAAAGTCTTGCCTCTTTTCCCTTCATTCTATTTTTTCCAAGTTACATAACCACTGAAAATTTTAAATGTTACACTTCCATTTAAAAAAAAAAGTACTTATTTACATTTGTACCTCCCCACTCCGTTTTACAAATGAAGAGTGGAGAGAATGAGCTTACTTTCTTGTTACTGACTTTGCCTCGTTTCACCACTGAGATCCTTGAAAACTTTTTAGTAAAATGAGGGCAACGCTATCCATTCTATCTGATCTTCCACAGCGTTTCTAGGGAAGACAAAGGATGTGAAAACTCTCAAATTAAAAAGTGGTACAAAAACATGCCTGCTGTATAATTAACCCATTTTTGGTAGAGCCTCGAGTCCTGAACCCAAATACAAACAGGCTCACAGAATTGAGAGGACCTGCCCAAGGAACATAGGGAATTAGTGAGAACCCCAGTCTTCTGGCTTGGAGTCCCGGGGTTGAATAAATCCACGAAGCCCTTCTTTTTAAAAAACTGTACGCAACACACAAATATCTATTTTTATAGAGACGAGTAGTTTAGGACACCCACGAAAAAGAAAATATCAAAAAGCCTCAAGGCTGAATGAGGCAGTTAACGCTCAGCAACCATGATCGCCCAGAATCCCATGGGTGAGCAGGAGGGTTCAGGAAGCTGGGGTCAGCGAGCCCTGCGCTCACCCAAACTGGGGAGTTCGGGTCCGAGCTCGGAGGCCACGGAAAACCTGGAGATGCTGTGAAAGCACGGAGCAGGGAGATCCAATGCAGTGAAGCTGGACAAATAAGTTAAAGCTGTCCCATTTGGAATCCCAACAGGGAGGACTGACACACTCAGGACTCCAGCAAAAGCCAGGTGAAGATTTTGACGGGAAAGGACACCATGTTGTAGATTTCAAAGGAGAAATGGTGCTGATGAGGATCCGTAGGGCTTCCAAAGGATTTAGCCCTAATATCCCGGCCTAGGGGTGGAGCCGAAGTTGCGGGAAGAAGCCTGCTGGGAAACGGGGAGGAGCAACGGAAATGACGCTTAGGAGCGCCACTAAGGCGGGATGGGGCTCCTCTCCTGCCCTTTTGGGCAGGGGCTAACGGTTTCCGGTAGCGTGTCTGGGAGGAGCTGGGGAAAGGGGGTGGTGAGCGCATGCCCTGTGACCCTGGGCCCCTAGCGACCGCTTTCTTGCGGCCAGTCCAAGATGATGAGCTGTGGGGAGTCAGGGATGAAATCGGTGAAAGGGGAAGAGGTTGTCGCAGCCCCGGGACCACCTCCAAAACCCCGCGCCCCAGAGCCCGGAGCCCCACTGCCCGAGCCCGGCTTGGACCTCAGCCTGAGCCCGCGGTCCGAGAGTCCGGAGCAGCCGAACTGCAGCCCGAGGCGGGGGAAGTGGCAGGCAAACCAGCGGGGAGGGGCCTGCAAGGGGCGGCAGGTGAGCTGGCGTTAGGGCCTGGCCGGCATCCCGCCAACGACCCTGCACCCTTTTCTTCACTGCCTTCCTCTCTGCTGGCAGGTCCGCTTCCGCTTAGCGCCACCCTCCCCAGTCCAGTCGGAGCCGCTGCCGGTCACCGCTGCACAGAGCGAGAAGCCCGTGGCGTCGCAGGACCTGGGTGCGCCCGCGCAGCATAGCAGCCTGGCTTTGAGCCTTGAGCTGCAGGCTGCGCGGGCCGCAGCCGCGGGCCAGTTCGATGCCGGAAAGGCCGTGGAGGAACAGCTGAGAAAGTCCTTCCAGACTCGCTGTGTCATGGAGGAGAGCGTAGCCGAGGGTGAGGGGGACAGACGGCCGGCCAGGCGCGGGAGTGGGGGTGAGAGGTGCGGCTCACCTCCGCTCCCCCTGCGGTCTCAGGGCTGAACGTGCCGCGCTCGAAGCGGCTTTTCCGGGACCTGGTGAGCCTGCAGGTGCCCGAGGAACAGGTTCTGAATGCTGCGCTGAGGGAGAAATTGGCGCTCCTGCCAATCCATGCTCGAGCCCCACCCCCAAAGGTGAGGGATTTGGTCTTGAATCCCCTTCCGTGTTTCCTCCCATTTTCTGCCGCGGGTTCTCCTCTCCCCGAGTGTAACCTTGCTTTGGACTCCAATCCCAACAGGAGCCACCTGGGCCAGGGCCAGACATGACTATGCTGTGCGACCCAGAAACATTATTTTATGAATCTCCACATCTGACCCTGGACAGTCTGCCCTCTCTCCGACTTCAACTCCGACCGCGCCCTTCAGAGGATACCTTCCTCATGTATCAGACACTGAGGCGATGGGAAGTGTAGACCTGGAGACTCACAGAATTGCTAGTTCATAAGTTTCAGAATAAAGTAGTTTTGCTAACAAATGGAACTTTTCTTGGACAGCTTAAGGTGGGGTCAAGCTGCAGGTTGGAAGCTGCCTGGAAGTTTTTTTGCCTCCCCCCACCCCTTTTTTTTTTGGTTAAGCTCAGTAATGACACGTATAAAACACTGGTCATTCAGATACCCTCCCTGTTATCTTCCTGACTTTAGTCACACCTACCACCTTTGTTTCTGGTAACACTATGCCTGTTTCTTTGTGCCACTTATTTCTGATCACTTTAACATATGGGTCTCAGCCCACGTTTCCTGACTTGGGGAAACCTTGTAAGTAGCTACCTTGTAAGACAGCTGCTAGCACCTAAATTACCCCTTTTACCTTCAAGAACTTTGCCCATCTTTACACATGACCAGAGTACACGTTATTGAATGTCCAAAGCTCCAGGGACACTCAACAAACTGCTTAAGAGCTACATGTTAAGTGGCCTATTAGTCTGGTTCCACAACACTAAAAAAGGAGGGTGCGAGTAGGCAGGTCCAAGAGCAGGGAGATGGTCTGATCCAAAGTGCCATTTTCTAGCTCCACTGTTACCTTCCAAAGTTAGCCTTCTGCCAAAACTTCCACAAAAAAGTTGTCAATGGGTTTTCATTGAGGTGTGTGTGGGAAACTTCAAATTTCACATCAAAATTTGCATTATACCCCTTTTTCTTGACTAGAGTTCTATACAGTTGTGTGTAGACCTGGCAATCCACAATCTTCCCAACCATTGAAAAACCTTGAAACTAGTTTGGGCAGAGAGGAAGCACAAGTGGGTACTGGGAGGCACCACCCCTTCCCAGCAGCTAAAAAGTGCCAGACAGGTCTGGGGGCCACTGCCCTAAACAAGTTTATTGTGCTGTTCTTACATTCCAAACCCAACCCTCTCTCCCAATGGGGGACAGCAGAGGGATATTCACAGTACCTGCGTGCCTCCCCACCAAGCTTCCCCCTTAGGCCTCAATCCATCTATCCGTAGTCCACTGAAACGTAGCTAGGGATAAGGGCTGAGGAGAATGAGAATCTCTCCTTGGAAGAACAGGAGGAAGAGGCTAGAGAACTTGGTAACTCCCACCTCCTGTGCCCTAGGAGAACAGAGGTCAGCAAACAGTCCATGCCATCCAGCCCCGTGGGCTGGGGGAAAGGAAGATGTGGGTAACTCCAGCACAGCTGGGCTTGCTGCCTAGGTACCAGAGGTATAGGGAGGAGGCTTGGGGCAGCAACATAGAATAAGCTTTCTGTGCAGATCCAAGAAAAGAAACTTTGGAGCCAGAAAGGAGAGACTGTGGGATACTTTTTTTCTCCCAGGTCCTTAGGAGCAGCAGGCAGCTTCTTGACACTCTTCAGGGGGCCACTTAGTGGCTGGGGGAACGGGCCTTGTGGAACAGATACACAGGACGCTGGAAGCCTGAGAGGAGAGTGCAATCAGGAGGGTTTGGCAGGACCTCAGGACTCCACAGGGTCTGTACCCTCCCTGCCAGGACCAGTCTCCCACCCTCCCCAAACAAAGTAAATCAGCCTTACCTTTGAAGGTGTTGTGGGGTGTGGCCACAAGCTCATAGCTGGAGAAGCCCACCTCTGGGGATGTCAGGTAGGAATTGAACTGCTCTGGCTTCAACTGGATTCGATAGTAGTTCTTGTAAGTTGTTTCCTAGGGAGAAGAGCAGGGGACGATTTCAGCTTGCTGCCTTCTCCCTTGATGGAGAATGATGCCCACCATGGGGAGAGGTGGGGTGTGTGTCTTTGCACCTTGTTCACAAAAATTCTGATTCCTTGAGAACTTTCTTGCTTTAACTAAAGAAAGGATACCCCCAATTTCCACTGAAACCCCAACTCACTGTGAGAGTCTTTCTTTTGCTGTAGGATGACCAGGGTTGGGGTTCCAGGACCAGGATACCTCCAGGGCGTAGGTGCCGGTAGATCCGGCGAAACATGCGCTTCAGTCCCTCATCTCCCCAGTTCAGATGCACCCACTTGGTGAGGCTGAGGCAAAGCACCACATCATACTCAGGTTTCTGGGCCTCCACCAGCTCATCTCGATCCAGCACATAGTTACCCTGACGGCAAGAATTGTGGATGAAGGTCAAGAGATGCATTAAAAGCAACGCCCCCCACCCCAAATTCATCCTGTAGCCTCACTTTAATCTTTAGATACAATCATCTGTGATACCCTTAGTCTCATTTTCTTGCTTGCTATTGGTAAACCAAACAAAAAGGAGCTTGGGTAGTTTAAAACTGAGCAAAGTATTCATGAGCTCTCCAAAGTTGGGGTGAAACTGCAGGCAAAGAATGCTGGAGTTCCTCCAAGACCCTGTCCATTGAGCTGAGTTGATTCAACCTTATGCAAAGGGACCTAATTGCTGGTTCCTTCTCAGGAGTCAGGGCTGGGAAGGTTTTGGGCTTATTTCTTCCTGAGAAGTGAAGAGCCCATCGCTTCAGAAACCTTTTCCAGATAAGCTCATTACCACCCTCTGGAAAGTCCATTTTTACAACACTAATGCAGGAGGCCAAACTGGAGTGTTTTATGAGGAGCTATGTGCAGTCAGAGGAGACTGCAGATGTTATCCTCCTCTCCTGCAAAGGACTCTGACTCTTCTCCATCCCACTATGTAGGGTCAATGTGGGGATGATCCAAGGCCAAATAACTTGGGTTCCTGACCACTGACACTCTTCAACCAACTCTGTATCTTAGGCAAAGTCCCTCTCAAAGGACAGAAACTGTAAATATTAGCCAAGACCCTAATTCTCTCCCTACCCCAAGACATTCCATGCCTGATACCAATCCCTCACAAACCTTCAGTCAGCTAGAGGACAAGTTTCCATCTGGACCAAATCCCCTAGAAAGTATCAGCAGTAGCCCCCAAAGAAAGGTGGACTGGTCTAGATTACAGCCCAGGCAGGGAGCAGGGCAAAGTGAGATCCCATTTTGGGTTTAGCAGTTATGAGAAAGAAGCCCCCTTTTCCACATTATAGGAGGGAAGAGACAACCAGGGGAATCAGTTGCAGATTCAGACCCTTCTCCTGAGGCTCTGGTTCTCCAAGTGAAGACCATGCACAGAAATGTCTCTGGCTCATAACCTTTCCCTGCCTCATTCTCTTTTAATCTCAACCTCATACTTGGCCCCTATCCCAAGACCCTCTTACCGTGACGAAGACAACATTGTTGGGGAAGACTGATGTGTCTGCTCCATCCAAGGGCACTTGGGGTGCAGCAATGGGACCCCGGCTGGCTGTTAGTGAGGCTGGGAAGCAGCTCCTCTTTCGGGTGGTTGTGGTCCCTTCCTCACTCTCTGCCCCTGGGTCCCCCTCCGAAGTCTGGGGTGGCAGACGCAGCTCCTCTGACAAGTAGTGTCGGATATTTTGGCGGGCCGAGTGGATGAGTCGGGGATCAATATCCAGGCCTACCATGCGGGATGGGCCCCACTTACAGGCAATGCTCAGGGTCAGATGGCCCACATTGCACCCCAGATCTAGGACGTCCCGATCCCGAAACCACTCAGGCTTCAATACCCGAAGGCGACCATCCTCACAGGAAGGATTCCGGTACCCATAGTACTTGGAGTAATTCCCATACTGGAACTTGCGCTGTTGCTTTTTGAAACCTGCTGCAGGTAGTGGGTGCAGATGGTGGCGACCTCCCCCACTTCCTCGGCCCTTTTCCTTCGTACCCTGGCCTCCACCCCTAGCCCCTGCCTCTGACTTGCTGGAAGTCCTGCGACGTTTTCGATGTCGTGAGGAGGAAGACGGGAGTGCAGAGGTAACTGAGGCAGCTGGAGGAGCTGAATGGGAGCCTGAGGGACCCTGTAGGGCAGATGGAAGGGGAGACACGACCTCATCCCTGCAGTTGATGGCTGTGTTGAGTTCATAGGGCTGAGGGGCATCCCGGTTCTGGCTCCTATGCCGCTGCTGCTGTGTGGTACCCTCCCCATGGAGTGAGGGAGTGAGGGGGGCTGTGGGCAGCACAGAGTGGCTATCATTCCCTCCAGTTGCCTGCTGCTGCTGGTGGTGCTGTCCCCGGTGTCTATGCCGCTTCCGACCAGTCTTGAGTGGTGAAGCAAGAACTACTTGGGCCTCATCAGTGCAAGTATTGAGACTGAGCGGGTCAGTTATATCTTTGGGGATGAGAATCTCCACTGGATCTCGCCCCTTGGCCGGAAGTGGGGATGACTTAGGGGTCTCTGCATTGAGTGCGCGGCTCACTTCCTCATCCAGAAGACTATTCAGGTTCAGTGGATCAAAGATATTACCCCCCAGGAGGAAGTTGGAAGGTAATACAGAGTCACAGTCCGAATTAACCCGCCTGCGCCTCTTAAAGGCCGGATGTTTGAAGCCTCCGCCTCCCCCTACGTTGCAGCTATTTCTCCTTTTGCCCCCACCTCCCCCAGGGGGCCGGTGGGGCTGATAGCCATTACGGGGTCGAGGCGGGGCAGGGGGGCCCAGTTCTGTCCCGCCCCCTCCCCGTCGCTCCTCCCCCACGTCCGGGGGAGCGGCTCGCCCGTGGTGATCCGACGGGCGGGCCTCCCCCTGCGCCTGTGGGCTGCCCCCTCGTTGCTGCTGCGACTGGCCGCCCCGAGGGGTGGATGTAGCCCCGGGGCTCTCCTTGCCGGACCCAGAAGCCTGGACCCCAGCTGAGTGCGCGCGCGGGCCCGGTCCGCGGTGCGTCCCGCCGCGGAGCTCCCCGGAGGCGGCCTCTCGGTGCAGTTGCACCGAGGGGCTGCCCCCTCCGCCTGACTCCTCTTTTAGCGGCGGCGGCGGGGCAGGGACCAAAAACGGTTCCTTCTCCGCCGCCATCTCTATCATTTCCTCCCCTTACTCCGTCCCAGTCGAGGGCTACAAGTGGGGACTAAGGGGATTAATCCCCCTTCTTAGACCCTGCTCCCTTCCCCCTTTCCGAGTGCGCGCGCAGCTCTGCTCTTCTCGCCTAGTCTCGCGCCCAAGCACCGCCCCCGAAGCGCGCCCCACTCGCCCGCGAGACCAAAA